TGACGACACTTACACGGTTGAAGATGACCCGCTCGGAGTAAAAGCGTGAAGTGTTCCCGCTTGAGATTTCTTCACAGTTCACTCACAGACGAGGCTCCCGCTTGATACTCCCCCCATATTCAGGCCTCAGGAGCCCAAAAGTCACGACATTTACAAGTTCGCGGACGACCCGCAGTTCACTCACAGACGAGGCCCCCCGCTTGAGACGTCCCCCATATTCAGGCCTCGGGAGCCCAAAAGTGATTAGAGTTACAGGATGGAAGAGGACCCGTTTGGATTAATAACGTGAAGCGCGGGCCCCATACGGAGGGGGCTCCCGCCTCAGACTTCCTCACAGTGCATTCACAGACGAGGCCCCCTGCCTTTTACTTCCTCCATATTCACGCTTCGGGAGCCCAAAAGTGATAACAGTTACAAGGTTGAGGATGACCCGCTCGGATTAAAAACACGAAGTGCGGGCCCCAGTGGGAGGGGGCTCCCGCTTGAGATTTCCTTTCAGTTCACTCACAGACGAGGCCCTCCGCCTGATACCTCTCACGTACTCAGGCTTCGGAAGCTCCAAAGTGACGACGCTTACAGGGTTGAGGTTGACCCGTTCGGATTCAAAATTTGAAGCGCGGACCCCACGGAGGGGGCTCCCGCCTGAGACTTCCTTCCGGTTCATTCACACACGAGGCTCCCCGTTCGATACTTTTTCCATATTCAGGTTTCGGGAGCCCCAAAGTGACAACGGTTACAGGGTTGAGGATGACCCGCCCGGATGAAAAATATAGAACGCGGGCCCAATAGGGAGGGGGCTCCCGCTTGCGACTTCCTCGCAGTTCATTCACGGACGCGGCTTCCACCTGATATTTCCCCCATATTCAAGCTATCGAATGAGTGGGTGAGTGAGGGAATGAATGACTTAATGGGTGATGATGATGAGGACGATGCAGATGATGAGTGAGTGAGTGAGTGAATGTGTGATCGAGTGGTAGTCAAGGTGATCAAGATGGTCTGTGTGTGTGAGCGAGTGTGAGTGTGAGTGAGTGTGTGTTCCTGTGTGTTCCTGCGCGGGGTGTCCAGAGAAAACAAGAGCCCCACTTTGGATGTGGCGACCAGTTCCTTATCGTCCTGCCGCACCCTCCAAGCCGACTCGATCTGTGATGGCCCGGGGCCTGACGCCAGGCGAAGCCGCCCGGTGCGAAAAATCTGCAGCGCCCAGATCTCAGGGGCGAGCCAGCCCCCCCCTCATCGTTGCCCCTCGCGTCGGCGGGCAAGCGGCAGAGCCAGCAGCAGCCTCCCCGCGCGGCGCTCGGCCTCTCTGGCCTGGCGCTGTTCGCCCTGGGCAGGGCGACGGCGCCGGGCGGGGCCTTGGCGGGCTGGCTGTCCGGCGAGCGCTGGACGATCCGCGGGGGCGGGGCAGCGCTGGGCGGGCCTGTGACGGCGGCGGCGGCGGGCGCCCCCGAGGCGCCAAACAGCACAACGGCGACGCTGCAGGGCACCAGCAGCTCGACGGCGGCGCCGGGCGCCAGCAGCTCGACGGCGGCGCCGGGCACGAGCAGCGCTTCGGCGATGCCCCGCGCCAGCAGCTCGACGGCGGCGCCGGGCACGAGCAGCGCGACGGCGGCCCCGGGCGCGAGCATCGCGACGGCGGCGGCGCCTGGCACGAGCAGCACCACGGCGGCACTCAGCGGGCCCAGTGCGATACTGCCCGAGAAGCCGCTGTTTCCGGCGGTCGGCTCCGCACTTGAGAGCTGCAGGGAGCGTTGCCTGCGGGAGGTGGCGGAGGGCCCCCGGGACTCTTCGAACGCCAGCATCAGCAGCAATGCTTATGTGAAGGTGCTTGCCGAGTTCGTCAAGAAGGCGCTGTACGGCATGCACCCGGACGACCTGCAGGAGCTACTCCAAAGGGCGCGGTACGATATGGACAAGCGTTACAGCTCAGACTCCAATATCAACAGCTGGTTCAGCAAACGCATTTCCAGCTACGTCGAGTACCGGGAGAAGGAGAGGTCCCTGCAATGCGATCAAAGTATGTGGCAGGCCGACGGTTTCCGTTGCCCAGATGGCTTCCGGGGAATTGTTGGGATCCAAATGATTCATTTGGAGCGCGACGATTGGAAGGTTCAGCGCGTTCAGAGGTCCGCCTGCATGCAGGGGTTCGATATCAATTGGCCCAGGAGCATCTGGCCTGGAGTGAATGGCTTCGAGCATCCCGAGATCATCGAGCATGCTGTGGCGGTCGGGTACATTAAGGATCCCAAAGGGCAGAACCTCGGCGACGTGGGCGCTGCGCTCGGCCACATCACGCTTTTGGAGGGCCTGCAAAGCCGGATAGGCCCAACAGATATGCAGGGTGCTTGCGGCAAGTCCGCCGCCGGGCCGGCGCAGCGCTCTGCACGTTTTTTTCTTCTATCGGCGATCGACGTGTTATCCATCCCCCTGCTGCTGCCGCCAATTCTAGACGCCAAGGGGCAGGGCATGAAAACCCAGCTTGGTTTCCAGGGGCCAGATGTTATACATGTCTCGACTCTGGCCCCTCGCGGGGTTGTGCCGTGAGCAGGGGTGTGGATAACAACTTAATCGCTTATTCTATCCCAGCTACAACTGGGCGGTACGATGCGACAGATCGCGCACCCAGCACATATGCCGCCCGCACCATGCGCGTCAGGCAGGAGGAGAGGAGACGCCGAGGACGAGAGCTGTTTGCGACAAATTGTGGGTCTTCTCGGCGCTGGGGTAGCGGACACCCTCGCTTGAGTTTCATTCGGTTGCACACATCTTTCGGATTCTCAGAACCCCAGCCGACTTCAGAAATCTGCCCTGCAGGGGTAGAGAGTTCACACGAGGATGCCTAAGATGGGAAGAGAGGAGAGTATTACAACGAATCTTGGGGCTTCTTGTTGTCTCTTGGAGCGTCGTGGGGGACTCTCGACGCTGCCTTGGAGCGGTTAAGGATCTCCTCCTGGCCAGATGGAGGCGTGTGTGGGCCCTCTTGGGGCCATCTTTGACTGTCTCCGAGTGCTCGGGCACTCTGGGGGCCCAAGGTCATCTATGTCTGGCCGTTTGGGCGGCCTCTCCGCAGGCTCTCTGCAGCTCTCTCTGGGTCCTCCGAGCGGCTCCCGGGCCACGGCCACCGTTGGACAATCCTGAGCGCACCAGGTGCCATCTTGAGCTGGCTGGCGCGGAGAGCACAACATGAGCGCGGAGGAGGAGGAGGAGGAGGAGGAGGAGGAGGAGGAGGAGGAGGAGGAGGAGGAGGAGGAGGAGGAGGAGGAGGGAGGAGGAGGCCGAGGAGGAGGAGGAGGAGGAGGAGGAGGAGGAGGACAGCAGTGGGGTCTCTCGCGGGGCCCGCTGCGCAGTCGCCACGGCCCCCAGGGACGCCTCGGACCAGGGACGCGCCGGGCCGCCGTGGTGCTGTGCGCCGCGCCGCTCCCCCCCGCTGGACCCCCGCCCCCGCCGCCCACCCCAGGCGATCTCGCCCACTTTCGGGCCCTGGGGCCCTCGCATATCGATCTGGCTCGCAAAATTTGTCCTGAATGATGGGGTCCTGGGCTCTGGCCGCCACTTGCTTTTCTAAGTCCTGCTCCTCCTCCTCCTCCTCCTCCTCCTCCTCCTCCTCCTCCTCCTCCTCCTACTCCTTCTCCTCCTCCTCCTCCTCCTCCTCCTCCTCGTCCTCCTCCTCCTCCCATCCTCCTCCCGCACGGCGAGGCTGCCTGCTGGCAGTCTGCCCTTCCTCTCCCCAGAGGCGACGACAGGGGCGAAGATAGCCCAGGGGGGAGCAGCACATGCACTCGAGAGCCCAGGGGGGAGCAGCACATGTGTACTCGGGTGCGCCGATGATCCGTGTCTTCGAAAATCGGGCGAAGAGAACGATGCACATGCACCGAGATCGGTGTATGTGCATAGTTCTTTTTCCTCTAGGCTCCCAGGCGAATGCGCGCAATGCCTGCCCCTGGGCTACTCGCCCCTCTCGTCGCCGCCGATCTCCGTCCTGCGGGGGCCTGGCGGAGCCCGCCCTCCTCGGGGCCCACGGCCCTCGAGCGAGCTCGCCCCGTTGGGGGCACGAGCGAGTCGACCGAGGCCTTCTGCCGGCCCCCGCCGCCGCCCGGAGGGCTCGGCGCGGCCGATCTGGCTCGGTTCGGACGTCGTGGCGAGGCGGCCCGATTCGGTGCAGGTCCCGACGGGGTCCGATCTCTCAGGCCTGTGCTGACCCCTCGTGGAATTGCGCCGAAAAATCTACGGGGCAGAGCAGCCGGGAGGCGCAAGTGAGGCGGGAGGCACCTCCTGGCACGCCGACAGTCAGGATGGCGCGAAAGCATGCGGGACGCTCCCATTATGATTGCATATTTTCTTCATTCCAACACGAGAACTGTATTTCCCAAGTGTTTTCCAACGCGCAGCGTGTGTCGAGGCGCGAGGCTGGGTTTCTGAAAACCACCATACCCAACTACCGTGCACAGTCATGATCTTACCCATTCCTGCTTATTTCTTTCCCCTCGTGCTCATCCTCGTCGTCCCTCTCGCACAGAGCGCTGTGGTGTAAGCCAGTGTCCGTGTCTAGCGTCACTGGATCCACAGTGGCTCAATGACGTCGCCTCTTACAGTCGGGGCCCTGAAGAAGGAACCCTTTTCGTTGGGGAGGGGCTCCGTGTTCCTTAATTGTTTCGCAGCTTGCCTTAGATTGTCCTTAGGTTTTCGATGGGGAATCGAAGTTTAACCTTTGGAAAAAAGGGGCCGCGTTCCTTATTTAGGATTCCTTGGGTCAACGCCCCGACTGTAGTCTGGAGCCTGCCGCTGCAAAGAGACAGCGGCCGTATACAAGACCATCGCTCGCAGGACAGCCAGTCAAAGTGGCTGGACGCTTCAATCCCGTTCGTGTGCGCACCATTTCAGGTGTCCCAGTTGCCTCACGAATGTGTTGCTGAGCGTATCATCGTGCTGCGTTCGCTCCTGATAATTCAGAAGAAAAACGCGCCCAATCACGCCAAGGGGGATCGTGGCGGATAGTCTTAGTAATGGAGGACAACGCGTTCTTCAACCTTGAGTCTGTGTCGGGGATGTGCTCGTCGATCAAGGCGGCGGGTGATTTCGACTTCCTCGGCTTGACAGTCCTCAGGCCAAAGGGCACCACCATCAGCAAAGACCTTGGGCTTCGGAGAGTCACGAAAGCTAAGGTTCAAGAGCCGATGCCCAATGTTTGGCTGTCCAGCTACTTGGTGACGGGCGCGGGCGCCGCCAAGCTGCTGAAATGCATCAAATCTCAGAGGCAGAACTACGCCAGCAAGATTATCGACCGAGTCCTATCGCAGCAGTGCCTGTCTGGGGACAAGAGCATCAATGCCTTCGTGATCGACCATCACCGCTTCTTCGGTCACTCGGAGTCGGGGGGGGATTCACGAAAGAAGCTGAATTCCAAGAGACCTTCCAACTCAACGCGCTAGAGACAATACCATGACCAATGTTCCACTTTTCACCGTTTGTTTCACCAGCTGGCTCCAAGAAGCCACGCCATCTCATGCGCAATACCGCGACTACCTCTTTCATCTCTTTCCCCCGGCCAGTCGATGGTACATGTTCGTTGCACCATATCTTGTTTGTGGTTCTGCTGGGAGGAAAAGAGATCTTCATCATCCCCCTCATCCTCACTGCCTCCTCCCTCATCATTCGCCTTTTCCCCTCCTCGGCCCTCTCCCTCATCGTCCACCATCGCTTCCTCAGATACCCTTTCTTATTGTTCCTGCTCATCATCAGCATCATCATCATCATCATCAGCATCATCATCGTCGTCGGCAGCAGCATCATCAGCATCATCATCGTCATCACCATCATCACCATCATAATCATAGTCATCATCAGAATCATCATCATCAGCAGCAGCAGCACCAGCATCATTCACCTCATTATCACCCTCCACTGCTGCGAGGATGTCCCAGGCGAAACGGCCAAACAAATCGCGAACGGGCCGCTCTGGTTTCTTTCTAACGCATATGAGCTCCACCCCCATCGGAAAGGTGTGTATGATAATAGAATTGATTGTGCATATAACTATATAGATACCAAGTATAAACACCATGTGTGTATATATAGTGGCCCCCAGGCACCCCCAAACCACCAAAACCAGCAAAACATTCACTGATCCTTTTCTCCTCCTCCTCCTCCTCATCATCATCATTATCATCCTTCCCCTCCTCCTCCTTTTCCTCATCCTTCTCCTTCCCCGTTCTCCTTCCTCCTTCTCCAAATACAATTGTTGACGCTTCGCGTATCCCCACCAGCTTCAGCAGGCTCCACGCGACCTCGTCGGGACCCCCCTGGACGTCATCACCTACCTCCTCACCTTCCGCACAGCTGACAAGAAGGACAAGGTGCTGGCCAACAGCGTGAGCAACACATTGCGGTGTGGACAAGCCCTCCTGGCTCGGGCCACGGCCACCCTCGAAGCGCGCTTCCCCGGCACCAGACAGCTTGCAGCGAGCACCAGCACGGCGCCACCAGTCCCCCCCACAGTGCCCACAGCCGCCGTCCCATTCACAGACCCAGAGGTGGACAAGGCCATCGGGCAGGTCTTCCAGCGTGTTAGGGACCGATCAAAGTGGCTGGACGCTTCAATCCCGTTCGTGTGCGCACCATTTCAGGTGTCCCAGTTGCCTTACGAATGTGTTGCTGAGCGTATCATCGTGCTGCGTTCGCTCCTGATAATTCAGAAGAAACGCGCCCAATCACGCCTAGGGGGATCGTGGCGGATACCCTTAGTAATGGAGGACAACGCGTTTTTCAACCCTGAGTCTGCGTCGGGGATGTGCTCGTCGATCAAGGCGGCGGGTGATTTCGACTTCCTCGGCTTGACAGTCCTCAGGCCAAAGGGCACCACTATCAGCAAAGACCTTGGGCTTCGGAGAGTCACGAAAGCTAAGGTTCAAGAGCCGATGCCCAATGTTTGGTTGTCCAGCTACTTGGTGACGGGCGCGGGCGCCGCCAAGCTGCTGAAATGCATCAAATCTCAGAGGCAGAACTACGCCAGCAAGATTATCGACCGAGTCCTATCGCAGCAGTGCCTGTCTAGGGACAAGAGCATCAATGCCTTCGTGATCGACCATCACCGCTTCTTCGGTCACTCGGAGTCGGGGGGGGATTCACGAAAGAAGCTGAATTCCAAGAGACCTTCCAACTCAACGCGCTAGAGACAATACCATGACCCATCTTCCACTTTTCACCGTTTGTTTCACCAGCTGGCGCCAAGAAGCCACGCCATCTCATGCGCAATACCGCGACTACCTCTTTCATCTCTTTCCCCCGACCAGTCGATGGTACATGTTCGTTGCACCATACCTTGTTTGTGATTCTGCTGGGAGGAAAGAGATCTTCTTCATCATCCCCCTCATCCTCACTGCCTCCTCCCTCATCATTCGCCTTTTCCCCTCCTCGGCCCTCCCCCTCATTGTCCACCATCGCTTCCTCAGATACCCTTTCTTATTGTTCCTGCTCATCATCAGCATCATCATCATCATCAGCATCATCATCGTCGTCGGCAGCAGCAGCAGCATCATCAGCATCATCATCGTCATCACCATCATCACCATCATAATCATAGTCATCATCAGAATCATCATCATCAGCAGCAGCAGCAGCACCAGCATCATTCACCTCATTATCACCCTCCACCGCTGCGAGGATGTCCCAGGCGAAACGGCCAAACAAATCGCGAACGGGTCGCTCTGGTTTCTTTCTAACGCATCTGAGCTCCACCCCCATCGAAGAGGCGTGTATGATAATAGAATTGACTGTGCATATAACTTTATAGATACCAAGTATAAACACCATGTGTATATATAGTGGCCCCCAGGCACCCCCAAACCACCAAAACCAGCAAAGCATTCACTGATCCTTTTCTCCTCCCCTTCCTCATCATCATCCTTCCCCTCCTCCTCCTCCTTTTCCTCATCCTTTTCCTTCCCCTTTTTCCTTCCTCATTCTCCAAATACAATTGTTGACGCTTCGCGTATCCCCACCAGCTTCAGCAGGCTCCTCGCGACCTCGTCGGGACCCCCCTGGACGTCATCACCTACCTCTTCACCTTCCGCACAGCTGACAAGAAGGACAAGGTGCTGGCCAACAGCGTGAGCAACACATTGCGGCGTGGACAAGCCCTCCTGGCTCGGGCCACGGCCACCCTCGAAGCGCGCTTCCCCGGCACCAGACAGCTTGCAGCGAGCACCAGCACGGCGCCACCAGTCCCCCCCACAGTGCCCACAGCCGCCGTCCCATTCACAGACCCAGAGGTGGACAAGGCCATCGGGCAGATTTTCCAGCGTGTTAGGGACCGACCGCAGCACGTGGCCCTCGAAGAAGGAGCAATACGCCATGGCCTCAACCGTGACGCCACAAAGGCCCTCACCGCCTTTACTTTACACCGCGTCACCATCGTACACAGCCCCCCCGGCAAAGGCAAAACAATCTTCTCGGTGGCCACCATGGACACTTGGGCCAACGCCCTCCCGGATGGACTGACCGTCGCACTGGCCGCAGGCTCCAACACGGCCGCCGACCAGCCCGCGCTCGGGCTATTCAGCGCACAACAGGCAAACAAGTTGGGTCCCCGTACAGAGTTCCCTAACAAGTGCGTCTGCTTGGCCTAAGAATTCCAGGTGGCCAAGGCGCTTACAGCGCTCACCCCCGGTTGACACTACTTCAGATCCACGGGCTTCTACCCATACGAGAGTGGATTCGCCAAAGATTCCCCCGCGTTTCGGACGCAGCTGCTCAAGGACGCCAAGACAATAATTGCCACACACGAGCCAGCGGAGGCGCTAAAGAAGGCTGCCCCAGTCGCCCTGCTCATCATAGACGAGGCTGGGCAAGCGCACGAGCTAATGGCTGCCATGTCCCTGGACAGCGTCATCCGCTCAGGTGGGCACCTAGTGTTGGTTGGTGACCCCAAGCAGCTCCCCCCTACAGTCATCTCTAGGAAAGCGGCCGGCCAAGGGCTATGCCTCTCCATCTTCGACCGCTTCCACCATGCCCTGGCAGAGGACCAATCCTCCGTGGTACAGCTCAACCTATGTTACCGGATGCACCCCCTACTGCTGACCTGGCCGAATTGTGTATTCTACGATAACACAATGCACACCGGCCTAACTGACCCCCTGGCCCAACGACCCCTGATCGAGGGGCTCCCATGGCGGAACCTCCTCCCCTGGGACGACACCAGGGTCGACGAACTAGCAGAGGCAGCGGGCACCTCCAAGGCAGACATGGAGCAAATGTTGCGAGGCCTGGATCCAGGAAATCAACCCAAGGAGGAAAGGCACCGCTTCCTATTGGTGGACAACTCCTCACTGGAGGTCACATCGAAGTTGCACGCAGGATACGCCAACCTACCGGAGGCAGCGCAGACCGTTGACATAGCGCGTGCCCTCCTGCCCGCCATGCAGACAGGCTTCACGGTGCGGGCGGTGGTCGGCTACCAGCTACAGTGCGCCATCCTAGAAAACGGATGGCCGCAAAGCGTGCAAGGCATCAGCGGCACCCTCAGACGAGTCAAGACCAAGGGTAAAGGGAAAGGGAAAGACGGTGCAGCCCCAGACTGCGAACCCCTGCCCCCCCCCCCCAGACCGCCCCCACCAACACCCACGACCACGCCAGCGTTTTCGCGCAGCACAGCTCAGAACTCACAGGCATATCCTTGAGGTTTCGCGGGCTGCGGAACCTCGCCGAGGAGCACCTGACCAGCGGCAAGCTCACCATCTCAACCATCGACCCCAGCCAAGGTGGCGAGGCTGACCTGGTCATCTTCCTGACAACCAGGTCCAACAAGTGGCATGACTGGGTCTTCATGGCCAATGCCAACAGGGCGAACGTGGCAATCACCCGCGCCACCTGCAATGTGATCATCATCAGTGATGGGCTGATGTTCAGCACAGCAACAGGTTCGCGCCTACGGGAGCTCTCAGTGCACGGAAGGTTCGCCAAGCTCTGGGTCCGCTTCTCCCACCCGAGGGACATGGGCAACAGGTGGAAGCTTGCAGTAGACAGTCAGTTCGACCCCATCCCTTGCCTTACCGCATGGATCCCCGCTTCCCCTTCCCACGCAGGGGACGAGGTCATCAAGGGACTCGACAACGCCATTGGGGGCGCCCGTGCCTCCATGGAAAAGAACTTTGCAGAGCGGATTGCAGCACCACTCGACCCGCAGTTCACATGGGACAACCTGGGGGACGCAATTAGAGGCAGTTTGCAGAGACTCGTCGAGGACCCAGCCATGGGTGTCGTCTTGTACATAGTCTCGGGGCTTCACCCCCACCAGTGGCCCATTGCGGACACACCGAGACAGCCAGGTCTCCTCGATCGCAAAGCATGGAGCCACTTTGGATTCTGCGCCGACTTCGAGCTGGGCATTGACGCAAGCAACTGTGTCTACAATCTCACGTGGGCGGCCCTGGTC